AGTAAAAATTGGTGTGCTTTTTAGTTGAATGTATTAGATTATTTAGCTGAAAAAAATATTACATTTTCTAAAGTGGGGTAAAATATAAACCAGGTACTTTATAGATGTGAAATGTGCTCTGAGTTGCCTACATCAGACATCCAATGTCTCTCTCTTACATGTAGTTTTGGTGAATCCTTTAAAAAAACCAGACATGATTAGTTCGTGATAATAATGAAAACTGATATACAGTGCTAATGGACTAAATGCAGATGGCATTCTTCACCTCTATGAAAGATTGTCATTAATATGGAAAGTTTGGCTTTCTGTAGGACTGCTGCTAATACCACAAAGTCTTCCTGTTTATTGGCACATGCCTGTGAGGACACCGTAACATTTTCTGTGTCTACTGCTACTGCGTAAATGAGAAGCTGTAACGTGACATACTAAATCCTTGTTGAGAGACACAGGCACTTGCCAACAACGAACGAGAAATGTGCTGATGGTTGGATTTAAGGTTTCTATGCCCTGGGTGACCAGTGGCAGCCCCGAGGTGTTTGGATTTGTTCTCTAGTGCCGCCTTCTGGCTGAGCACGCCCACAAGAACCAGTCCACAGGTGACAGCATAGGAAGAAACGATTACTCCTTGGAATGGTGTTATTTGTATTTTGTAGAAAGCTGCACTAGGTAGGTTAAAGGCAAATAATAATGGCTCTGTAAACAATGTTATTACCGGTATTCCTTTTATTATCTAGTCGATATTATAATCTCCAAAATAGACTGGAATTTTGTCATTGGTATGTTTTCCTGAAGGATGACAATTATGAGATCCAAGCTTCATAGCAGATGTATGACTTGGAACAGCTTTGGAGAGAATGTGAGCACAACCATTTTACACATGGTTGAAACAAAACTGGGAGAGAAATGTTTTGGGGCCTGGGCTGTCAGGTTCAGCACCAGCCTGGGGATGAAGGTTATGCCTCTGAAAGAGCAGCAATGACTGAAGACTATTTTGGAGCCATCATCCTATCAAATCCTATCTCTATGATCCCAAAGCGTAGCTTCCCCCGTATTTGCAACTTGTGAGGTCACACCTTGAGTACTGAATCCAGTTCTCAGACTCTTAATTCAAGAAGGACATTTTGGGGCTGGAGCAGGTTCAGAGAAGGGCAGTGAAACTGCTGAGGGGCCTGGAACGCAAGTCCTGTGAGTAGCAGCTGAGGGAGCTGGGGGTTCAGCTTGGAAGAGGCCTAGGGGTGGCTTTATTGCTTTTACAACTCCCAGATACGACGTTGTGGCCACGTGGGAGGGAGTTGGTCTCTCCCAGGTAACCATTTCAAGAACAAGAGGACACAGCTTTGAGTTACGCCAGGAAAGGCTTAGGTGGGACACTAAGAATTTCTTCACAGAGAGTGATTAGCATTGGAACGGGCTGTCCAGGGAGGCGCTGCAGTCAGTGTCCCTGGGGGTGTTGAAGGAGACCGGACCTGGCACTCAGTGCCATGTTCTAAACTGACACCGTGGCGTTGGGTCACACGTTGGAGTCTCATGAGCTCTGAGGCTTTCTTCAAATGATTCCGTGATTATCACTAAAGCCTCGCCTCAGACAAGCAAGGTAGCTTAGTCCATGCTCCAACAGTGCTCCCTCACCTGGGAATACAAGCTGCTGGGGCTCTCAGCAGCCAAGAGGCGGGAAACGCAAGCCCTGCCACCCTGTGGCACAGAGTAACCCGGGATAGCGACCCCTGTTCTTATTCCATTAGCTGCCTCTAGGGAGGCCACGGGGGCCCGCCGAGAGCGCGGGGCCGGCCCTGCCCCCGCCGGGCGGGCAG